AATGTAATAAATATAATAAAATATAATTGATAAGATTAGTTTAATTATAGATGATTGAAAAATAATTTCTTTATTATTTAATAAAATTTAATACATAATTGATACTAGAGTGTAATTATAGAGAAATAAAAGTCTAAAGAGAGACGAAAAGGAAAAAAAAATATCAAAACCGACCAGGTGGTTATGGCAGAATTATTAAATTAGGTCAACGGCAAGGGGGTAAGTGTAATTATAGACGAATGCGAGAAAAAAATAGACAAAATAACGTTTGTAAAAATTGATCCGAAAATTTTTTCACTGATTATTATCATGATTAAAAAGCGTGTTCAAAAATTTTTTTTCACTGATTATTATCATGATTAAAAAAATATATGTAATATGTAATAGTAATAATAATAAGATTATACTAATTAATGATTTTTTATTATTATAGGAAATGTTAATAAAAAAGGGGAAGATGTGGGGTGGATCCCCATTCCGAAAGGATATGTATTGGACTTGAAGTTGGAGAAGAAGGAGAAGAAGGTGGTGACGTGGGAGAGAACGAAGTAAGAATAATTAAAGAAGAAAGTAGGAGAGCGAGGTTGTGGAGAAAGTTTAAGAAGAGTTGTCATAAAGTATATAAGAAGTTGTAGAGGCGGGAGAGCTTTTTTTATTTTTTTTTTATATATATTTCTCTAAATTTTTTTATATTTTTTTTATATTTTTTCTATAACTTAAATTCATATAATATTAATAAATTCATATAAATATTTAAATTTTTCTTTATATTTTTAAAAATTTTATTTTATTACAAATGAAAACGAAAATACGATATTTTCATTGCTTTATTCTTTATTGAATTTTAAATAATAATAAATTTTAAATAAAAAAACAATTACAAGAAAGGTTCCGATTAAATCAAGGAGAAGCATACATATAAGTTAATTAAATATGTTAATTTGTATTGTATTTAATTAGTGCGAAACAAAATTTAAAAACTTTATTAATTCAAAATAATAAAAAAATAAAATACAAAAAATAAAATATAGTAATAAAATAATGAAAATAAAGAAATAATAAAAAGAATGAAAATAATAAAAATAATAAAAATAAAGTAAAATAATAAAAATAATAAAATTAATATAATTTGATTTATACTTTAAATTCTAATGTTAATTTTTTTTGGATCGTATAATCCATTACGAAATCCAAGATATGTAATTTCATGTTTGGTTCTCGGAATGAAATTGCTAAATTACTTTGATTGCAAAATCCTTCTCCCTCTTCTCCTTTCTCTCTATTATTATCATCATTATTTAGTATTATTATTATGTATTATGTTCTAATGTTAATAATTACCTTATAATAACAATAGTAGAATCCGTGGTATGCACGTGATTAATAACCAATGTTTTAATTTAGATTTGATAATCTTGCATAATTTTTTTTCAAAAAAATATTCTTAATTGAAATAATAATAATAATAAATTTAATTAATTGAAATAATAATAAATTTAATTAATAAAAAAATAAAAAATAATAATAATCATAGCGTTCATTAAGTATTTATTATTATAAATTTATTCAATTCAAATTCAATTAATTTCACGTTATTCTTATTATATTGATTCTTATTTAGATATTGGACATGGAGGTTAGGGAAGTCGTGAGGAGGTCGTGGTGGTGGTGGAAGTCGTGGATGAGGTGGTAAATTAATAGTGAACTTTTTTTTTATTTTCGTGAAGGATTAAAACATTTTATAATATAATTTATTTAAAATAATCTTTTAGGTGGTTTAAGACGTGAATTTGGACGAAATGGTAATTCATATCGAGGTGGTAGAGGACTGGTGGAGGTAAATTTGGAGCTAGAGGAGGTTCTAAGTTATTATTGAGCCACATAGACATGAAGGTAATATATAATTATTTATTTATTTACGAAGTCTCCTCCTCTTTATTCATGAATGGTCACCATAAAAAATTTACATTAGTAAATATATAAATAATTATTTAAAAATTATTTATTAAAATATTTAATTATTATTGATCATTTATTTATTTAATTATTTATTTAATTGTTTATTTATGTAGGAGTTTTTCTTGCACGCGGCGAAGAGGATCTTGTTATCAAAAATCTCGTAGTTGGAGAATCAGTTTATGGGGAAAAAATTTCGTTAGAAGATAAAGATGGAAATAAACTAGAATATCGAGTTTGGAATCCATTTCGTTCGAAATTATCTCTTGGTATTCTGGGTGTTCTTGATAATATTTATAAATCACCTAAATCGAAAGTATATTTTGAGAAGCATTAGGAACTACGGTATCACATGTTGCCGATATCGTTGGCCAGTTTAGAATATAAATATATTTATAACACGAATTTCAAGATTGGAGTATATTAATTTTAGACTATGTTAGACCAATAGTTGTATATTACTTACAACTTTGATTAATTTACTCTGTTAGATTTATATTTTTTAGTCGTTTCCATCATGTCGCATTGAAGGATTAGGATCAATCAGCATAGTATATGCCAGAACATCATTGAGATCTTTGATTTTATTAAACGTTTTCATGCAAGATAACTTGAGTTCCATCGTGTCTCTATATCAACAATCATTCGAAGGTATTCATCATTTTTCCGTAATATAAAATCTTTTCTTATTATATTTTTTATTTGAATAAATAACGCTAATTAAAAACGATAAATGATTTATTAATGTATTTCTCTCATATCTTTTCAAACCTAATGATTAGTTAAAGAAAATGCTCGAAAACATCCCTTATGCAGGTCTTGGTCGAACAGGCGCTTTCCGTGAACGTAATGATACAAATTTATTCAACAAATATTCTATCAGATTATGAATTGTTTATATTGTGAAGAATTATTTGTGAATGAAAGATTTCAATGTGATGGTGGGTTTTTCATAGCAAAATTTTCTCTTATTTGATTTATATAAATTCGTTAACTACCTTTTTTTTCTTACAGACTGTAAATTAACATGTTATTCGAAGAGATGGTCACCAAATGTATTCCAAGACTAATGATGAGATGCTAGAAAAGGTAAAAAATCAATCACCTTTTAAACATTTTTTATTCTTAATTCTTATATATTAAATTTAATTTAAAGGATTCAGAGTAAAACATCGTATCCCACATCTTTGAAGAAATCACCGATATTATAGCAAATTGATGTTGTCATTATGGTTATATGCTGCTTCTTGGAAAAAGGAGCGCCAAGAGAAGTATTGGTATATATGAGCACTTGAAGTCAGCTCTTTTTGTTATCAAATATTTTTCATTAATTTAATTAACACCAAATTTTGATTACAGAATGTAATATAACATGTCATTCAAGATGCACCCATCTCATGCTAGATTTTTGTGGAATGACTGTGAGGCGTGCCTATTAGATGATCCAACAAATTCGAATAGCAAGAACTTCAGAAGTATCAAGTCGTTCTAATAGTAGTCAAGAGCTAAATGTTGGAAAATACAGGACCATCAATACCCTCGTCTTCCAGTTACTCCTTCGTAATCCATTCCTTCCCAAATCCAAATGCCATATTCCCAGCACAACAATATGATTATTATGGGTATTTAGAAAATCTGTAATCGATTTGGTCAAACGTCTGTTATAACTTTACCTCTTCAATCACAAGGAGTGCCTCCTAACTTTCCGGCACAACAATGTAAATTGTATTATTATTATTTTGTGAGAAGTTTTTATTGTTGATAATTTATAATAACCTACCTTTTTTATTCATGACATCAATCTAAACACAGGCCCTATCATCTTCCATCCGATTATTCTTTTATTAAGCATACCGTAAAGTTGGCCTGGATGATTTTAACTTTCTTTGCTGTTTTGGGTAAAGGAAACTTTGGCAAGATTAGTTTATACACTTTAATATGCATCACATATGTGTTAATATTAGACTGGTCAACACTTTAAAATAGGTTAAAAAATCATCATAATGAAGGTTGCGCTTGCTCAAGAAAAATATTCTAAGCATCTTTATGCTATAAAGTGTTGATGAAAGAATTTATCATCAAAAATGATGAAGTAGAAAGTTATGAATTTATCACAATTCATATAGGTTTGCAAAAATGTAATGGATTTTTATGAGAATTGTTATACAAATCCACTTTTTTTACCATTTTCAAGTACTCAATCTGAAAAGTGTACATTTCAGGTAGCCAATTGATAATGTCGTCTATTCTTATTAGTTACTTTTTAAATTTTTATTAAAACTAACAGGTTTTATATAGAATATTTGCATAAGCAGGGTATCATATACCAAGATTTTAAACTTGACAATATTACTTATACTTGATGGACATATCAATATTGCTGACTATGGTCTTTGCAACTAATACAACAGCTAATAAAACTATACAACAATTTTCACAAGGAGATGTAAATAGTAATATGTTTATAACTCAAGAGGAAGAAATCCAGTAGCCTATCTCTACTGTTTAGAAAAGAATACAGCATATAAACTAACAGGTGTATCTCAGGAGAGTGAGAGTGCAGATAATATAAATTCCTCATCTAAAACCAGAGATAATGATAAAGTAATAGGAGAAAGTATTGGGTCCACAAGTAAACAAGATATTTCACAACCTATCACAAAGAGATTACATTCTGCAGAAAAGAAAAAGGAAGTATCCGAAGACCCTAAACAAAAGAAAGGAGATAAAGTATTATTATATAACTCAAGATTAGATAAACAGTGGTCAGGCAAGCTTGATAAGAAATGGAAAGGACCATTTACAGTTGAGATAAAAGAAGTTATATCCTATCAAATGAATTTGAAAATTTAAAAGAACCAATATATTCTGACAGATTAAAATTATTCAGGAGTAGAGAATCATGGGAACCATTGATAAGAATTTAGAAAACATATAAGGAAAAAGATAAAAACATATGGTGAAAATAATTTAATTAAAGTAACAAGCAATAAATAAAGATAAGGGATGGCAAAGGACAGTTGACCAAAACAAATGATAAAAGGTGCAATACAAGTACACCAAAATAAACAAAAGACCTGAAAAT